CTTTCGAGAGTATGAATCAATGAATTGGTAGCATTTTCTATTAGTCTTCAATTCCTTTATATAGCCAATAAAACAATATATTCGTTGAGGGGTACTCTTGGGATTTCCATAATATTTGGCGGCTTGAATCATGTGGGGGACATGATTGTGGGACGCGTCCATCCTTCATGGTAGTCGAATGAAACATTTTGATCGTACCATGTACTATTGTACCAAGTTAACATTATCTTCTTTCCTTATGTACTTTAGAGGATTCTGTGAGCATGAGCTTAGAAGAGAGAACATAATACTAAGGTCATCAGAAATTCAAGTCTTTAGAGTCTTCAGAACGGTGTCTTCAGAGTCTTCAACGCTTGGTCTTGAGAACCATTTCTAGAACCTTGGGTCTTCATAGTCTTCAAAACTACGTCTTTAGAATTTTCGGCACTTGGTCTTTGAGAACCCTTTGTCTTCAGAAACATTAGTCTTCAGCATCTGGACTTCAGTAGAAACTTTTGTCTTTAGATCTTCTGACTGGTTTCTTTAGAACATGTTGCCTTCAGAAACATGAGTATTTAACATATGGATTTTAGTAGAACTTCTGTCTTCAGATCTTCTGACTGGTTTCTTTAGACTTCATATCAGAGCCTACACTTCAGAGTCTTCTGGAGTGTCTTGCTATTGTTCATCAAAACTTGTGTAGCGCATAAGCAAAACTTATTCTTTTCTAATGTCTTGGCAGTTCCTTTCATCAAAAGCAGAACCTGTTTGTTAAATACTCAAAATAACAAACTTTAAAGTACCAAAATTGTTCATACAAACATACTCATTTGTTATCATCAAAACTAAGAGATAAAGTTGCAGAACCAAATATTGTTCTAACAATCTCCCTGTTTTTGATGATGACAAAACTATATATTTTGATGACACAATTTTGTACATAATCAAAATAAGTGAAAAATAAGAAGGTTAAGAAACACTTATCCTTGTTATGAAAACTCCCCCTGAGTCAAAGACTTGATGAAGATCAAATATCCTTATTCTGAACCATTTGAGTAGAACTCCCTCTGGGGCCAATAGATCAAATATTGAGATCTTGAGAGTCTTGATGCCAATCATGCCAATTGAGATCTTGAACCTCTAGCATCATAAAGACATATTCCAGATGCAGGGGGTGTTGGAAAAGAAATCTTGTCAAGAATCAGCTTTAACATGTTCTGAATATTCTCATTGATAGCCTTATGTTCAATGATGATTTCTCTGAAAACCCGTTGTTCTCCTCTAATCTCACCAATTTCATTTTCCATATGTGCAATGGAAGAATCAGAAGAAGATACCACTACAACATATTGTCTTTCTTTAACAACTATTTCTTCCTCTTTAGCCAATCTGGATTCTTCAGCTTTTCTGGCTTCTTCTGCCTCTTGAGCTTTAAGCATGACTTCCTCTTCCTCTTGCAGTGCTCTAGCTTCAGCTTATCTTTGCTTCTTAGCAAGGCGTTGGAAGACTCTGATTCTTTCCTCTCTTTATGTCACCGTCTAAACAACTGCAATTATGGATGCTTCAGAGAAGGTCTTCAACCTTTCAAACTTAGAAGACATCCACTTCTGAAACAACTTCTAGGAATCATCCAGATTCTGGGGCTTAATGCTTGAGCTTGCTTCTTCTCTTAGCTTTGCAATCTTCTTTCTAGCCTTGTTTCTAAACAAATTAATGCATTCATTCAAGGTTGAAGTGTTGAAGATGATGAAGGTTGTTGACGAAGGTGATGATCTTGATGAAGAGCGTTAATGAAGATGATGAACATAGAGAACTTGTTGAACGGTTTGAGAGAAAAAGAGGGTTTAGGGTTTCTAAAGTGTGGAAGTGAAGTGAAATGTTTGTTTTATAGTGTTTTAGAAGTGAGAGAAAAAAAATATAGACATAATTATTAGGAGAATTAAATGAAAGTAATAATTATGAATTTAATCAGTTCCAAGAAAAATTACTGCCAATGTGTAGCCTAGGTAGAGTGGTGATTAAGAATAACCAAAGGTTACACGCATTAATCACTACATCTAATTAGGTGACACATTTTGATATCCTTTGAATCTGGAGAACCAAAAGGTTTCCATCTAATCGAAGACATTTCTGACCGAAACATCTTCTGATTTCTGAGGTTCTAAAAAATGAAAATGCTTTTTGATCAATTCAGAATCTTATTTCTTAACACTAAGACTAAAACACATCTAATTCTGATGAAATCTCACTCTGGACAAAAGTCTATTTTCAGATTCTTCAGAATAAGCAAAAATCTATCTTCAGCTAAGGGTTTTATAAAAATATCAGCCTATTGATGGTCTGTATTTATGAATATTAAAGATAAAATCCCTTTCTGAACATAGTCTCTAATAAAATGATATTTAATTTCTATGTGTTTAACCCTAAAGTGTAAAATAGGATTTTTACTTAAACAAATAGAAACAGTATTATCACAGAAGATAGGAGTGTTACTCTCATAAATTTGATAATCTTCCAGCTGATTCTTCATCCATAGCATCTGAGTGTTGCACAATGCTACTGAGATGTACTCTGCTTCTGCTGTTGAAAGAGAAATTGTTGATTGCCTCTTGCTTGACCAAGTGTCATACCCCAAATTTATCCTACCCTTTTACTTTTATCTGGCTTATGCATCTTTCACTTTTGTCATGTACATAACTTCCATTAGGTCATACAATAAATCATGCATCATTAATAAATTTAGCATGGGATCAATGTTTATGAATGGAATTAGGGTTTTACCCTGGTTTGAGGTGTACAAATCAAATAAGCTCGGATCATTTGGTTCTCTTATGAAGCATGGATTAGGGAAGTAGGGTTTTGACATGATCATCCATTGTGGACTTATTTATCATCAAATTGCAGGGTGTGCTTCTACCAAGATTTATCAAGGGCAAGTGCTTAGGGTTTTATCAATGTTTCAACTAAGAGTACTTTGAGTTAGGGTTTTGGTTTTTCTCTACATCTCAAGTCATTCCTTCATCAATGTGTATTTAAGGCATGAGATTAGGGCTTTATCTTAATTAAAGGATTTTCTCAAAGGTATTACTTTGGTGTTGAGATAATTGGTTATCAATTCAAGACGTGAACCATGGTGTAAGATGTTGAACTTGATTATTATTTGTGTTCAAGGCATCATTATTCTTTTAACTACTTGTTGTTTCAGTCAAAAGTTAATTCAATTGAGGATAAGGTTCATTAATCAAGCATGGCATGTATTGGACTCATTTTCTCATGGTATAGTTGATTTAAGGGTTTATATGTGCTATGAATGTAATATTTCCATGTGATATCAAATAGTGTGATTCAAGATATTAGTCCATGGATTCCTTGTGGTATCAAGGATCTCAAGGACATGTTTTGGTCATGGTGTCTGAGAATTAGTTCAAGGAAGATTGAAAGATCCACTCATGGTTAATCTCTTGAATTCATGTTACAAATTACAAAGTCAATAAGATCGCATGCAAGGGTGATTCAAGGCTACATGGACAAGGTACTTCTTAAGTAGGAAAGCATGGTAATTGGAATTGGAATATAATCAAGGGAAAAGGAAATGCAAACTTCATTTGAAGAGGAAAATATTACAAATCCAAGGCATTCAATTTACGATATTCCATCCATTACAATATATAATGGCCATTTCGTCAAGAATACCACCAACTTACAAGTTTTGACCACAATCTGTATCATCTTTTATGGATCTCTTACCATGATTCAAAGTGCAATTCAAGTTAATGTAAAGTTGACATTGTTTTAAGTTCAAACATTCATTCGACGTTCAAATATCCAAATAACATTCTTCATAGAATTTTCAATGTTCATTCAAAATTCAAGTTTGAACCAAATCTACATAAACCTAATTTTGCTAAAAGCTTTTTGATCCAAAACTTGAACATAAAGTCTTGATTCAAAATATTTCCAGTAGCCAAAAATCATCACCATTTACATTTACAATTTTCAAGAACATTACAAGATGCATTTACATCAAAACCTAATCACAAAATCTAGCCTAAGCGTTAACCTCTGTTGTCAAGCATTCCACAATCTTTAACATTAAAAATTCTTCATACCAATCTTCAAAAGCCTTGCACAAAACCTTGCAAAACTGTGTCTTGTTGCACAAGAATTACGCATAGACCAGCCTTGCAATATAAACTCAATTAAAAAAATACAAATTTAAAACCAGGTTGTGCATTAATACTAAACTGCCCTGCACTAAATAACCAATTCAAGTCAATAAATCAATCTGTTCAAACAGTCCATCAATAAAGCAGTTCACTCATTTAACAAACAGAACCTGCTACACATCCACTAAACCTAACTCGGGATTACCCGAACCCACGCTCAATTCAAACCACCCATAAACTCATGGATCCACACAATAACACCTACATAAGCGTTAAACCAGAAAAAGTAGAAAAGCATAGCAGTAAATTGTGAGAAACTCGTAAACAGAAAATCAGAACTATGTGAGGTATCAGAATTCGTTTGCCACCTCAACCAATAACAGAAAAAACATGATTCATAATAAACTTCTAACCTCCTCAATCTAAACCCTTCAATCCTATAACATATTTTATCAGTCCAAGGGCTAAGATCTTATTCCATCTAACTAACTTTTCTAGATCTAACAAAAAGATGAAAATAAAAACTCACCTCAATTCATTCATTCTTCAATTCACGGAAGAATCACCACACAAAACTAGAAAACTCTCATCTCTATTTCTCTCTTCAATCTCCAATCATCTTCAAGCTGTATAATATCCATCACCGCTTTAAACACTCTCTGTAAATCACACCATTGAACCTATTTCATCACCTTCATCTTCACGACATCTTCAATCTGCATCGCGGCAACCACAACTTCAACCTTCATGTAGCTTCATCATTATCATCAACTCTTCAATCACCTTCATTCTATACAAATCTCCTTAGCACCTGCATCGAATCAACAACATCGACTCCGCATCGCATCAACAACATCAATTCCACAACATCATTATCTTCAATATCATTGAAAGATCAGAATCTTCACTGCAATAACAAGAATGTATTAGTTCTTCATCGCACATCAATCTCCTTCGCTAGGCAACACCATAAAAACACTAAAAGAAGAAGCAATATAGAAGAGGACGAAGAGAAATGATAAGTGTGAAACGCGGATTCGTACGTTCCTGAGGTCGTAGCCAAGGATCTCTGATTTTCTCGAGGTTTTTTCCATTTCCAGTCGGTGAATCTCATTAATTCTTTCCTTTTTAAGTTTCTGCGCATACCGAACAAGGCATAATCATGCAGCAATGTGAAGTGTCTGTTCTTTATGGAGATATGATTCATCAATCAAATGATTGAACCATGATGGTGGTGGAAAATTTGAACGGAGAGACGGTGAGGCCACGACTTATGAGCATTCACGGCGGTGCCATGGTTGTGAAGGGTGGCGAAAACGGAAGATTGAAGATGATCTCAATGCCACCGCTTTGTCGAAGAAGAGGAAGAAAATCTCCAGAAGGTTAGATGATGATGTTGAGCGCCACGAGAGAGAAGTAGACGAAGACAAATATGTCGTTCGCGGGAGAGGGTTGAGAACGAAGAAATGGAAATTGTGAGATGATTCTGTTCGTGGAATTTCAATGGTCACAAACTTGGAACCTTAAATACAGATACCAAATGATACCGTTTTAGGAACTCCTTTCCTTTTCTTTTTTATATTATTTCAATGATAGTTATGGTTTTTTATATAAATCTAATCAAGATGATATTTACGTTTTTTTATATAAATCTGCTCAAGAGAGATTTTTTGGAATGTTGGTTGTATTGGATGGGCCGAACTCCTGCTAGGCCTTGGGGTTCTTTTTGGGCATGCTGGAGCCTTTAAAAAAATGTGTATGTATTCATGTGGTTTGGGGTTAGTGCTAAAATTTTGGTTGTTTTTCAGTATCATTTGCATGCTGTTTGTACCCCCAGGGTTTCTCCATTTTTATTTGCTTTTGACAACTATTACAGATGAGTTTTAATTGATTGGTTGAAACTTCCGCAAGCTTCTGTAGAGCTTTCTTATCACTTGCGGGGCTTTTAAGAGACAACAGACCTTCTCCATTAGGTATCATCGTGACTTTATTTTATTCCTCATCTCTGCATTGCCTACCGCTTTCTGATTCCATGAGAAGTATGAATAGAGATGCATGCTTTACCACTTTTCTTGATATCATGAAAAGTAGGAAATAAAGAGCGTGCGCTCGAAGTCGCTGTTTAAAAGTCATGTAGCAGGAAATCCACATTTATTTGCTCCTCGTGATTGTGCTTGTGTGCTTCCATCTTTTGTCGATCGATGATATCACTCAATTAGAATTGAGATGATGATTTCGACCTTTGCATGTTCCTTTAGGATTTTATCGTTTTCCTTTGTTAACGATCTATGATGTCACTCAATTAGAATTAAGATAACGACTATCTTTGCATGCTCCCTTAAGGCTTTTATCGTTTCCCTTTGTTAATGATCGATGATGTCACTCAATTAGAATTGAGATAACGACTTTGATCTTTGTATGTTCCCTATAGGATAGTTATCCTCATGCTTAGGTCTTTTGCATGCTAACGTAGGTAGACATTTCCCTTTTAGAATTTTCTTCCTCTTTTGCGTATGCATTAAAACTAAAACTTTTTTCCTTTCAAACTTCAAAAAACACTCTAATAATGCAAAAACCCTTTTTTCAAGGTAACAAAACACCAACCAACCCAAACTCTTTTCGCCTTCGGGTCTTTCATCGAAACTCTCAAAAGGATGTGTTAGTTCTACTTTAGGCGGTACGATGCGTAAATCCCCAAAGGTCGGGTTGCACCCATGTCTACTTGCCAAAAAGTTTCGTATGAGACATTATCCACCTTCGGGCATTTTTATTTCAAAGATACCTCGTCAGGTATGAGTATGTTAGTTCCTTTCTACTACAGACGTGTGAGTCTCCCAGGGTCAAGCAACATTAGAATGTGAAACTTAGAATTGTTCCATTAAAAAACACAAAACAAACAGAAACATGTTAGCCAAACTACGACACTCTGATTCCTCGAAAGGGATACGTAGGCAACATGTCGTGGGGCCTAACCGAGTAAAATTCGTAAATACTTCCTTCTTTTCCCCGCATTTATTTGTCATGCATTCTTCCTCAGTAGTAAGCGGTAGACATAGATTAGACACACCCATAAGAAAGATAACAAGAATGGATATCATAGAGTACTACGGGCGTGTAAGGTGCTAATATATTCCCCTCACATAACAGAATCCCTTACCCGATCTCTCAGTCGCAAGATCGTGACTTCTTCCTTCTCAGCTTTTCTCGATGTTCACCTTTCCCTTCATGTGGGATAAAAGACGTTCGATGGAAAATTCATTGTTTGATGATTTTCAGCTGGTTGTTTCAGCTGGAGACTTCATTGGGGACAGATCGACCAATTGCTGGTCCATCCCGGAGTCGATCCTAGCTCTTGTTTTTCTTTTCTTTAGGTTTTATTTATATGCTTTATGGCTTATTCATTTTGTACATGTTTATCTGAGCATATGTTTGCATTGTATTTTATTGCTTTCCATATTAGTTATCTGTTGTGCTGGCTTCTGGTTTTCCATGTTAGGTGGGTGTTACTACGAGGTAAAAGGCCCAGTACCCAAGCCTGAGTGCACTAGGACACCGGGAGTAGAGTGGAGCATGATGGCTATTGGATGCAGGTCCTCACTAGCATATTAATGTGTTCTGCACTTGGTTGAGGTTCAAATGAATTACTATTGACACCTACGTCTGTGAGTAAGGCAGTAGTACTTTCAGGCGGACCCGTGATTCCAAGTCACCTTTGCCTTACCCTGACCTATTCTTAACCCGTGAGTGGGGTGAGAATAATCTTTACAGGTACTGTTGGTGACTATGTTTTGATGGTGACCGTATGTTCTATTTGTGACTATGGGGTTCTCAGATTTATTTTGAGTTCCTGACTTGTTTATTTGGAGGTTCATTTGGGCCTTCGATCTTTGTATTCCCAACATGTTCTGAAAAGGCTAAACAATATTCAGTGTTCCAGAAGCCTTAATCCCATACAATTGATGATCTACATGGTACTTGGTTCTTATATGTGCGAAAGCTATGTCGGACCTTTGATCTGGTGATATTCACATGGTTTAGAAGCAGTGCAAAAATCATATTCAGAAGAGATGGAACTTTGATCCCATGTCTTTGCATGCATAACATGGTTAACCATATAAATGTTCTGTTATTTCCAGGGAATCATATCTGTAAGTCTTGTGTTGAACTTTTCCATCCCTTACCTCTGTAAAATCGAAATCAAAGCATGTAAATTCCTTGGAAACAATGGAACATGATATGGCATCCATTCATGCACCCCATGCATATTCATGCATTCATAACAGGTACTCAGAGTTGGGGATTCTTATTCAGACTCGGTATTCTTTTTAGAAATGCAGATTTGGAATTCTTGTTGTACATGTTCAGAGATCAGTATGGGATAACTCCATGGGGGGTTGACTGATACGAAGATCCCGATGGGGGTTGATTGTGGTATACATGAAAGATTTGGCCCGTGGTCAAAAATTACTCGAGAAGAAAGATAATCAATTGAAGACCCGTGTGAGCCGGGTCATGGAAGCACTGATGATGATATCAACAACCCCATACCTACTACCGCAATAGAGGTTCTCTCTTCTCCTCATATTTTTGGGATCACTTTCAACCATGGAATGCTACACAATATTGAATTCTTGGAATATCTTATCAGTAGATGATTCCCATTTACTATGTGAATTCAAGAAACTTGTTTTACCAACGAGATTAGAATACGCCTGAAGAGGAGTTGATCTTATATCAATGCTTCATTCTGATTGGTTTCCACACTTGTTTAAGCTTCAGTGGGTTAGACCTCATACTTCAGTTCCGTCTATAAATTCCTTTCCAGATCACGATACCAACGTCAGATATGGTTACCATACCGAGGCATCTGACTATTCAATTAGGGGCACTCTCCACTGCTTTGTGTTCCCTGATCTGTTTGACATCAACCAATCTTTTTCCCCTAAGTGAATTCATGGGGAAAAGCTTTTCAGCAAAGACAGAAGAAGCTTGATGAGCATGTTGATGCGATCCCATTGCATTACATCCAGTTATTTTCTCGCCTGGTGGAAGTTCAATTGGTAAAGCTTTGATATTTGGGGTCCTCCTCTGTTGTACCCCGAAATTTTACCTCTCAATTTCTCAATAATTCTCTCACAAGATCTCTATTAATTCAAAACTGCACAAGGTTTGATCAGCTCAAGACACCTCCTTAAGCACTGATGAATCAAAATTAGGGTTTGAGTTTATACAAGTACAATCAGACTTTTAATTCTTCATATGCCTTTCATATATCATTTTGGACTCCCAATATGGCTCATGTCAAGTTTCAAGCTTTAGATCACATTTTTGCTCAATAAATTTATTAGTTGACCTAAAATCAACTGTATTGGGGAAAAAGTCAACAGTGGTCAATTTACAGTCACACTTCACAATTGTTGATCCACATCAACATTATGAATTCATATATGTCAATTGATTAAATTTGGATCACAATTCCTCAAGAAATTTGATCAGATCATCAAAAGGGCAAAATGGTCAAAATTAGGGTTTTGACTGAAGAGGCTTAATTTTTGACTATTGACCAAATGCAGGACTTGTTGGTTTCAGACATGATATCAAGAACACAAATGCATCATTTTGACCTAATGGCATGGTTCAAAACATTTCTCATGATCAATTGATTGATAGTTGAAATTTAGTCAGCTGATGAAAAAGTCAATTGTACATTGAAAAGTCAAACTTTGATTTTTTTGATCAAAATCAAGTTTCAAAAAAAATATTTCATCAATACATGTCAAAGTATGAAGATTGTTCATCAATAAATCAAAAGTCAATATTACTTTGAAAAAGTCAAATTTCTAAAACTTAGAAATTTTTCTAAGTGTTAAGAAAAAAACATGATAATTTCATAACTTTGTGCCAAATTTCCACTATAATGCAAGATAATTCAAGAAAAAACTTTCAACATGAAAGTTTTAGATATCAATGAGATCTAAAACTTTTTAGGACATGAGAAGTTCTAAAAATTCTTGGATTCCAAGTTATTAATTTATGAAGACACGTTTATGAAACTAAAACACTTAGTGAAACTTTGAGCATTTTAAGTCAGGATTTTGACCTAACTTCTTGGCCAAGTTTCACATAGTTCCAATTGGGGTTTGCAAAAGTGATTCAAAGAGGAAATGTAGAGCATTCTACAAGCTTTCTAAAAAGTCTAATAACTCC